AATAATAATAATAATAATAAAAAAAAAAAAAAAGCTGATGTGAATTTATCATTGATAAACTCGGCATTTCTTGGAGACGAGCAGCTTTCAGAATTAGTCCTAAAAGTGATTTGTAATTCTTTCAAGTTTTACAAATCTGAGGCATCTGGTAAAAAAAATGAATGGTGATCTCAGAACAAACCCAGCCTTTTTTATTTTAGGAAAAGCCTGAGCTGAACAGCATCTACTAGCCAAAAAAAATTACCTATTGGTTCGCAAACGGGATCCCCGTGGATTCAGGTACATACAGCAGCAGCTTTACTTACTAAGTACATCAAACAATATAACTGGTGGAAAAGAAGAAAGGACAGGAAAGAGACAGAAAAGAGACACTAACACACACACACACACACAGAAGTAGATTGAGAGAACATCAGCTATTAGTGTACTGCAAATGAACCAATTACTCATAATTATTCTCTGTTACACAAGCATCCTTCCTAACACAAGTGACCAATTTATTTATTCTTAGGAAAACAGTCACTACCAGTAGTACCACAATTCTCCTTACAGAAGTATTAAATATGAAGCCCAATTCTCAAAAGCAATGAAACTATGAACGTTTTATATGATGCTGTCTTTAATTCACTTCTTACTACCCTCAAGAGAAATATTCATCCCAATTTTAACCGACACTTTCCGCTGATACACATCTTTTCCTCATGACAGAAGCTGAAAAGGGGGAAGTGTTCCAACTGGCTGTAGAGTTACAATCCAAGTTTAAGAGACACACTCCTAATTTATTAGATGTACTAAACTCTGCAAGGCTCCTTCTCCAAGGATGCAGGATTTCTTCTACTCCTTAATGTTTACTTTTTGCTCTTTCATGGGGATTTAGGCGAAATATAATCAGCTGAAGCCCCAGAACCCCTAGACTGTCAGGTTTTGTGCTAAAATTGGCAGATACAAACCCAGTCAGGACTGCGGCAGCTGCAGAACAAGCCCTTTGAAGTGAACATAGTTTAGATTGAAACTGCTATGAAGGCAGGAACAGCAGAGGATTCTTCTTTTTTTTTTTTTTTTTTAAAGCTTTTACTCACAAATATTCACCTACTGCTATGGGGATAGATAGAAGGAAAGCCTCTTCTTTCGGTTAATTGCTAGTTGTTTCTTTGTATGAGTCTCAGCCAAAGCTTCAAAGGCCTCACTCGTCAAATGTCATGGCTTGTGCTCAACATGAAACTGACAGTTCTGATTCGGTTGCACAGCGATTGCTCACGCTGAGCTTGGGAGTGGATCCGTATTACACAGTAATTGCTAAGCAATTGTGTAACAAAAAAAAAAAAAGAGTTCTGTTGAAAAGATTTAGCAAAGCCACAGCAGTGAGTTAGACGAAAACTTGAACAGCCTGCCAGCACTACAATCCCAATACATGTTCATGCCTCACGTGAGGGCATCTTCTTTACTCATTACCCGTGTAATCAGTGGTTTATCTCTTTTGTTCGTTTGTTTTTTTAATACCCTTGTCTGCACATATGACACTTGCAACTTTAAAACAAATAAATCAGATCTAACACAGATTACTTAAGACTACGTCAGAGCTGAGGTCTGCATTTCACTTTCTGGTTATGTGCCATAACACAAATATTCTGTAGTATTCTACTGCCACCAGTGTGTGAAAGGAAAAGAAAAACAGTAACAAGCTAACATGTAGGCAAGAATAAAACAAAAAGGAAATTATTCATAAAGGAATGAAGCCGAGAGACTATAACAAATACTAAACCAATAAAACCTCTGAAAATCTTTTAGGAAAAAAAATGTAACCGAATGCAATACAGAAAAAAGGAAAAGACAAGACTCTGCATAGATTTTGCCAGAAGAAAAAAAAAGGTCTGGACACTCAGTAATTAAGGTAATACAACAAAATTTCTGTTAGTAGTATATATTTGTGATCTATCAGATAATTCCTGGTAAATTCTTCTTGCAAACCTTTAAGTGGTACCAGTTCAATTCTACTTCACCTTCTTTCCTCTTCTCAAAGGCTTTTAAAACATTAGGCATGAACAAGATTATTCATGACTAATTTAGAAGGATTATTTATTTTTAATAAGATTGGTTTAGATCTCTCCCAATGATACCCACAAGAATAAACCAGGCTGTGCTAGCCCCATCTCTCCCTAGCTATTTTAGATAAGAGTGCAACCTGGGGTGTCAACAGCCATCACACTCCCAAAAGGCACAGAATGGTTTAACCAACACTGAGGAGGTTAAGGATATGCACTCACATTCTTTCATTCAAGAGTCATTCTTACATTGACTTGGGACAATCTGGGTAGTATTTATGTGAAGACCACATAATTTGTGAAGTGTTCTGATTTAACATCCTCAGAAAGAGATGTGTGTAACATTTATAATATTCTTCAAATAAACCCAGAGTAACTAGTACTTGCAGAGCAGACCCTCAGAAACTGCATTTTTAGAAAGCATTAACATTTTTAATTAATAAATTCACTTCAAGCTATAATTCTTAAATTTGTTGTAGCGAAACAGATTTGTCATACCAGAGGTATTGACCTCAGAAGTCTGTTTAAGGAATTTATTAAGCACTCCACATTGCTATCTATACAGATATACTACAATTTTCCAGCACTTTTCTACAAAGTCCATGCTTTCTTCTCCATTAAAATCACATTCCCTATAAACTCTTCCCAAAGTGGGAACAAGAAACTGAAAACTGAAGTACTTTTTTTGGAAGATTGTATCTGGATAGAGTGCAATGAATAACTTACTGTTTTACATGAGACCACTTAAAAATGGTCATACACATTACAGACACGAGGCAGTATTCCACAAGCTGCTGCTGTGTGCTTCCACTCCTAGGCATACACATTCTCAAAAGACTCTCTCAAGCTAGAGGAGAACTATTTAGCTATTAAACCAGCATGTTCCCGTCCCTTCCAATTTCACAGATTTAAGTTAACTGGAATTGCCATGATAATGTAATACAGCTTTCGTTAAATATCAGAACATTTCACAAGGACAATACTCCTCTCTGTGCATGAGTGCCCATTGCTCAACATTGCTTCCATGTGTCCAATTCAGTAGTGTGTCACATACCTAAAAAGCCCTCATATTAAAAAGCCCTCATATATTGGCTCCAAACTATCTAAAAAATAAAAGCTGAAAATCCCAACCAGTCATTTCCTGCTTCAGAACAGTAAAATTGTCCAAAACCTATTTCTCCTTTTAACTGTCTACAAATTAGAAACCCACATAGGTACCTTTTCATCATGTTTTTTGACTGGCAAAACGTCTGTTATTTGCCAAAACCTTTTTTACTCTTCAGAGAAAAAAACAACTTAGTATCAGTAAATACTGGTTTAAATTAAGGACTCACAAAATTAGCTTAAGATATATATGGTTAGTACTAACGTGCATGATACACATAAAAATACAGTATGGAAATAAAGTATGAAATACACTAAACTGTGCAAGGTATTTTTAATTATGAGGATCAGAGTTACTGTTATCATTAAAATTAATAAAACTGTTATCCACTAACTTGTTCTTTGATTTGAGCAACAGTAAACAACAAGATAGACAATAATTTACATAAATTTATGTGTTGAAAAATATTTCATCCCTGGTATAGCAGACTATTTCAATCCTCCTCTTTTTTTTCCCCTCCTAGAGGACAGTATCATGAAACAAACGATGCAACAGAAATGGAAGTACAATGCTAAATAAACTCTACAGTACAAGCACATCGTCCTTCCCATGTTCCCAATAGGTGGCAACAGAATACCAAAAATACACCGTTTATAATTCTTTCTTCATCCACAAAGTAATAGATGCCCTGTTACAACTACTATCAATGAACTTGCACCAGCAGTTTATTCAAATGAATTGTTGCATCTCAGCAACAGAAATTCTCAGGACAGTTAATGTCAAAAGCCAGAGAATTCACAGAACAGGAGCAAAAGCATTTATTAAAAAGTTAGTTGTAATGAAAAAACTAACTGTTGGCTTATACTCAGAGCTTAACTGAGGGAGTAAGCTATTACAAGCAGGAACTGACAGTAACAAAATGCTTCTGCACATTAAAAAAGAAATGCTAAGGAAGAAAGAAAATTTTCGATTAATTTGTTTTCTTGTTGACATCCACACCTTGGTCTTCAGCAGTATTTATTTACAAGACTGAATAAAGCAGTGAGAACTTTTAAACAGAAAGTTTTCAGCTGACAAACCCCAACTTTATCAGTAGTATCAGGTCGATACTAACCCCCTGATTCTTTGTAAGAAATGACAGGAAATCAGAGTTCTTTCCTAGACAGTTATACAACTTATTTGTATGACTTACAGAGACTACTTACTTGCTTTCAAAACCAGCTACGTCACGGTCCAAAGAAATTGTCTCTGTCGTAATTTCCACCTTTCTCACACTGCCAAAGAAGTCAGTTATCAGAACATTTTGAGGGTCCCGCTGAAAGAGATCCGTTCGGTGCCCGGGTGTGGAAACACACAAACTTTTTGGACAAACCTGAAACTGAAAACCAAGACGGACAATTATATCCTGTCCCTCATTCCTCAACAGTCTCTATACATACCTTCCAAAATGAAATTGCTATAAAAAGAAAAATAAATGCCACACAACTTGCACCGATTTCAGTACGACTGACACCTGAAAAAAATTATTGAACAAAAACATTACAAGGCATAAACATCTTGATTATGCATTTCAGAAAACCTCTCTCTTCACAATTATGCTGTTTGAATTTAGAAATGCTTCTGTGAAAGCCAACCATCAATTACATCTAAGTGATTAAATGTACAAATGTATTTCTGAATACAGATGCATCAGTGCTGTTATAACCTTCCAAAAAGCACAAGTGGGTATGAATTCTTCATATTTACAGGGAGGCAGGCAAGATTAAACAAACTTTGATAAGTAGCTAACAGTAAAGGATTCATAAAGAAGCAAGAATGTACATTTTGACTGAAAAAAAAAAAATCTCTTGGTCTTATTTCCAGTTTATAGCCTGCAAATTGATGCAGAATTAGGATCTTCAGATAACAAAGGTGGTTTATGTCCACAAAGTTCACAGAGACATCCTGTAAAACCTAGAAATTAGCTACATATCTTGTTATTTATTTCATGTATGTATTTTGTTTGCGTATTAGATCCACTATATCCAGCACACATTGCAACACCTGAAGCCAAAACTAACGAACTGTTTTCAATGGACTCAATAATGTATAAAGGTACATCTGCAGAAAATAAGTAGATGTAACAGTGAGAGATTTGTTGTAGCATTTACAGTGTCTGACAAAACAGCATGCCTATTGAAAATCAGATTGTTATGTATCCAGCAGATATTCAAGGCAAAACCCATGCATTTTGGACACAACACCTTTTTGCACGAGTCCCACCACACTTGCCACAAAAGTCTCCAATATTTCCCATCTGGATAGATTCCTTATTTCAAGGGATCTTGTAATGTGCATGATGCAATATAATAAATAATAATTTGTCTGCATTTTTATTAATAATGCTACATAGCCTAAAGTGCCTTCCAAAGGCCTCACCCTCTCTAGCCTCCTTGATGAGCTTGGAAAGCTGAGTTCATGTCTCAGTCATCAGAAGGCACTTCACAACCACACACACAACCCTGCTAGACACAGGAGCTAGACACACAGCCCTGCTAGACAGAGCACGAGCTCTACAGTGCTCTGCACAGTTTCATGGGCAAATGCTGCTGTCCATTCAGCTGTCTCATGGGCAGCCCACTGACCACCTAGTAACAGTGGAGGTTATGTGACTTCTTGTACGTTCCAGCAACATTTAACAGAACAGATTAATGTACAGGAGTATGAAGGACAGTCTCCACACAGGTGCTCATCTTCCTTAGTCTTAAATTCTCCAAATCACAAACAGGTCCATCAGTCACTGGATCTAGAGCTCATACAGCTAATTACATCATGGGTCAGCTCTTCGAAGGTTGCACTCTTAGGACAAAATCACAGGTCCCAATTAGCTCAATGCAGATGCAGCCTCAACGGTCCCACACTGCGACTGACAAAACCTGTGAGTTTCAGCCCATACGTCCCAGCTGAAATTCTGTGCTCAGCTTGACACAGAATGCACGGGTTTGTGTGGCTCCTCCTCTTAGGACAAGAGAGCCCTACATTTAGAAAGTTTCCCAGAGAGGAAACAATGTACCTGGCTTTTCTTCACAGAGGATCTCCTTGTTCCTCCTTTACGCTCCGCTACAGTTTCTCTTTCATACCTTGTCTTTTTCATCTAAGCCTGTAAGTACACAGCATTAGGCTGCTGGTCCAGGGAGACTTCAGCTCACTTTCACCTTTACTTTAACTGAAGCATACAAGCACACATACCCACTGAGCTCTTCTTTAATGATTCCCAACTCTCTTGCCAGAGTATCACACAGCTGCTAAAGAAAGGATAGGGGCAGATCAAATCTTTCTGTTATGCTCCCTGTGAAGTGAAAAAGAACTAGACTCATCAGCATCACGCTTCTCATACAAAGCCACTTGTCAATGCACGCAAACCCTCTTAAGTTTCAGTTTCACCAAAATGCAGTCACTTTTCTTCAACTCTGCTCCAACTAAGGGCAAACATTAAAAAAAAGCATCTGAAGTAAGCTATAAAAACTATTTGTTTTAATCCTGCTATTTGATGCATAAATCTATGCTGCAGTTATACAATTCTCTCTTCCAAGCTTTCAAGAGAGTTTAAATGTCCCAAAACAACTGCATCAGCACTGAAGCTGGGAAATTGATACTGCACTCAAATATTTCTAACCTGTCCCACAATTTACTACCCTAAGATGTTGAGATGAATCTTGAACAAAAATGTGCAATAGTACTGAGAAGACTTCAGTATTAGAAATCTACCTATCCAGTATCATTGTGAGAAAAGAAAGACTGCAAAGCAATTACATCACAGCAGACTAATACTAATAACTGAGGTTTTCTGACAAAAAGAAAAGGCAAATGCTGGCTATACAAACCACATTTGTTCATATGTCAATTTTTCCATTTTTTTTAAAATAAGATACTATTCAAATAAAGCTAAACAATTCCCCAAAATTGGAACTTTGTTATCCTGAATTTTATTAACAACATTTTTAGCTATTTTATGACAAATGATATCTCACTTAGAAATTTATTTGAATCTTATTTTAAAAGTTCAAATGTGTGACATTTCAATTTAGTCTTTACTTTTTTGGAATTGTGATCAAATGGAAAGTCAGTCATTTGCACAGCTTTATGCTATCCCTTAGCAACACAGATGGAGCAGGTGGGGAGTAGGTGGAGTGGATTATGAAAAAAGATGTCTCATTCTTTGCAGGAATTCAATATCCAAATCTTCGGTGGATGTGAAGAGAAGCTGTTTTAAAAGTGGTTGGAGAAAAGTAAAGAGGTGATGTGATAGAAGTGGTGTAACAAATACACAGTACTTCTAAAAGTGCAGACATCTGACATATCAAAAGATCACACAACTAAACGTTAGCTAATAATTTTAAAGCTACTTAGTGAGCCACTTAATATGTTATACTAAGTTTTGAAAGTGTTAATTTTAAGAAAACAGACTTGGGTAAGTTGTATATCTTTGTTCTTACACCAACACAGCACTAACAGTGCATTCCAGTGCCAAAGTACCCACTATAACTGTTGGCAAATAAATGGGCTTATATCCTCACCATGGACTAACACCATGTCATTCGGGAACACTCAGATGAAGGCCTGACAAGCACCAATTCGAAATCAAGAGGTCAAGTTTGCTGCAATACATGCATTTTATGACTCAGTACATATTCATCACAAATCACGATATAGTCGGGTCCATTCTCTTCCTTTCCCAGAGCAACAACTAGCAGACTGATGACATATGATAAGATGACTGACATGATGTAAGGAATTTACCAGTATGAGATAACTTCCCACAGCTCTTCCTGAATATCTGGCATATAAGCAGAAACAAAAACGCAAGGGATACTCTCTGGATATCTTCTCCAAAGAGCTCAAAAGGTAAACTGCTTGGCCAGCTAACAAATTTTCTACACTTTTCACAACAACTGGGTTAATATCTAGTGGGCTACAGCAGTTATACCAGTTCCCAGATGGTGTCTTATACAGTAGAAACCACTGCTTGTTTTTTGACTTTTTTAACATGAATTCATTTTCTGGTTTACAGAATAAAATTCTAAAGTGTTGTTTGAATGAACTGGCTAGAAGACACTTAAACAATAAAGAACTTCCATATTCTTCTTTAACAAGATTTATTTTAAAGTTATCTGCATCCCATGATCAGAAGGTATTAAAATCACAGGACAGAATTTCATTCCCATGGCAGTAAAAGAATCTTGAATCTTAGTCACTGAATCCATGCTGTACCAACATAAAATCTGTCAAGTGTGGGCTGTTTAGAGTGAATTCTACTACACATCTAGCAGCCAGGATAACACCATCCTCTGTAGACAGAGGGTGGCATAAAACTTTTGAGCAGCTGCTCCTTTTACAGAAATGAATCAAAGACAATGTGTTCTGTAAGTGGTGGCTCTTAAATCACTGACACAGCATGTCAGGATTTACAGCTACAAGGCACTAAAGCATAGTGTATTACTACAATGAAGCAAGTATTGCAACAGGTATGAAAGGTTAATAGAGTAAATAAAATAGGGTTACTTTTTATGTCATCTCACCAGTGTAGATATCTGTTAGAGTCATTTTCATAGATTTTTGTCATAGTTGCAGTTGTTTTTTTTTCTTTTCTGCCTTACACCTGAAAGCTACAATTAATATTTACCCAAGATATAATGCAAACACTGTTGGATTTGGACATATCTTGCTCTGGAACCTAAGCAGATATACAGAGAAATTAGTCTCTGCAGGCATTTGTGACTGCACAGTTCGAATTTTAACTGTTTAATCACCTTTGCAAAATAATACCAATGCCTGCCTTTCCACAGCTGCAAAGTGTCTGCCATCCATTATGCTGATTTTTAAAGCTTCCTACTATCATTTTTCACATGCAACTACTTCATTCTATTGAAATTAATATTTAATGAATACTTTACTCATTTTTCAACAAGTAACAAAAAATGTGGCTAATTTTGGTTAATTTTTTCTGTAGCCAGCAAATCACTTTCACACTGAGAACAATCCTTAGTGTTACACTACGATTACATTTGATAATGGCAAAAAGACACAACCACTCCCCCCCCCCCCAAAGCTGCTTCCGAGAGAAACAGCAGGAGAACAAAAAGCATTTGGAGAACCCTATGGACAAAATAAATTAGTTTTGAAACTGTTGAAGTCATTAGCATATTCATGAATGTTGAGTATTCTACTTACTAGGTCATTCATATTTGTCTGACTGGCTGGATGAATTTCTTCCAAGAACTCTAGCACATAGAATGTGTATCTGTCCATAAGATGAACGCCAATCCCAAGATCAGGTTGATGCTTAAAAACAACACAAAGCAGTTACTGGGCATTTGCAGGAGAAAACTCAACATTTAAGAAAGGGAAGAGAATGTAATAGCATGTTACAAAAGTTAAGCATGATTTTGTTGTTGTTGTTGTTCTTAGGCAAATTATACAAAGAAAATGACTAGCCATGAAGAAACATATTGTTGACAAGCTGAATAATACTGTTTATTTTCATTATTTTAGACTGTATCCTGGTAATCTCCACATTTGCCAAAAAGGAGGGAACCTCTTCTTCTTAATGGTCCAGTATAGATTTGTGGGCTGCCCTGAGCTTCTTAGGACTTGGAAAACAGGGCTGGGAGAGACAGCTTATTTTGCAGCACTGTGCGGGTTCAGGTAATTCTGACGTGGTGGTTTTGGTCTGGCTAGGATCTCTCTCCTATCGCTCCTTCTGTAATTCATCTGGGATATAATTAGAGCAGGTGAAAGGTAGCAGGTTTGTTGGGTTTTGGGTTTTGGGTTTTTTTTTATCAAGTGTAAGTAGTCCCAGATTGAATATTCCCCACACACATCTCTCAGTAGTCTTCCCATAAAATTTCTTCCTATCCTAGGCAATGCATAAATTGGCCAGCAAGCACAGGAACCCATCGTTAGCCTGGTTCTTTGGGACAGCACACAAAAACAAGCAGGAAAGGTACCCTTACAAGTTTTGTCAAAATCACACTTTGCAACTAAATGCTTTACACATTCAGCACTGAGAAGGGAAATTTTTAGTTAAAAATGAACACAACCTGTGCTTTTAACTCAGGCATTCTGAAAATCGTCTTCAGAATCACAAAAATCTACTTACTGATAAAGAATCTTCTCCAACTTGGCTGCTAGCCAAGGCCATTATATTAGGTGAATAAAATCGCTCATACATGGATGCTCCTTGACAAGTATCAATAATAAACAACAATTCATTGTACCTGAAAGAAATAAAACAGCCTCCTAACCCATTTCTCTTTAAACTGAAACAACATATACATACTTTTCTTCTTTGTTACCTGGACAGCTGCTAGGAACCAAAGGAACAGAAGAGTTCACACTGATTGACTGTAAGATGAGAGTTTAGTCAAAACAATACAGTTGAGCAGATGTAACGGCAGCAAGCTGAAAGCAAAAAATAAAACTCTTCTTTCTGAATGCAAACTTTCATGAAATTTTGTGGACAACAGAGTATCACTGCTGAAGGTAAGCAAGGCCTTCCAGTAAGACTTCAGGCATGTTTGTGAAATACAGTATTTAACCTCAAAATAATGCTTTTTTTCTTACCTTCTTTTCTGCCACATTTGTTCAAAGGCATCAGCAAGTTCTACATTTGTGATTTCTTCAGAATCTTGGAATTTCAGGAAACCATTTCCACCATGGCCTGACACAAAAATCAGAAGTTATCTTCCTTTAACCTACACACTTGCCTATTCAGCCTGGTTGATCGTTTCTCTTAAAAAAAAAAGGCAAACACAACTCTCTTTCTCTAAACACACTCCAGCAAAAGAAAATATTAGTACAGTTAGAACAATGCATCTACATCATTTAAACTGAAAATGATACTTGCTAAGTACTGCCTTACAGGTTTTTTCTTAATTAGTATGACATACTAAAAAAAGAAAAAAATCTATTTGTTTGTTTGAACTCCTGACGGGATTTCATGCTTTCAAACAGGCCCGTCCAACTGAACAACAAACGTCGATAAATTGTACACAGAAACCTGTAATTACCTGTCATATATATTAGAATATTGCTTCTGTCATCAGAAAGAAGACGTTTAGATCGTGGTGTGCTTGGTGGGATTCTTCCTGTTAATACACGCAAGAAATTTTCTACAGTAACCTACGAATAGAAACAAAGTAATTTTCTAAAGAGAAAAATATCAATTAACAACTCCAGGCTGGGTTACATAAATTAAACAATGGAATGCTAAAATATGAATTGTATCTAATCAGATATAATATTGCACAGTATAAACTGCATAAACAGACATTTTCTGTTTGAGATTTTACTGCAGGTTCACAATCATATGGTACCTTTTACTTTATCCCACCAACATCAGCACGTTGCTTTATTATATCCAATAAGTCTACTACCATTATAATTTCTATATACGTCTTCATTGACCTGAAAACCTGTCAGCATATAGCTTTATTCTGCCAAAGCTGCTCATGTATTCACAAAATGCTCCAACATTAGTGTGCGTTACCATAGAAAAATATAAGTTTAAATTCCCTCTGCAACTCAGGAAAGGAAAAACAAGATCAATTTTGGTTACACAAGTCTGAGTGATCAGGTAAGACCAATCGGGACCAAGATCAATTTTGGTTACACCTGAGTGATCAGGTAAGACCAATCGGGATGGTGACTGTAAAACGTCCTATAAAACACAGCTTCCTCTTCATGCAGATGTACACAGTTCAAATGCTAGCAACAAATCCATACTCAGGAAAAAAACATGATAAAAAGAACATACCCCTACTTCAGTGTTGTATCTTCACTTCTTTATACAAAGTCTCAGAGAAATAAAACATCTACTATATACTTAAATATGCCTCTATAAACCTTTAGCAACGATTATATAGCACTACTAAACCATGCAACTGATGTCCAATTTAAGATCAACTGGTAAAGACACTGTCTGTATGAGGCAGTATTACACAAAAATGAAAAGGTGATAGAATGCATATTTCTAATCGTTACTTTACAGTAATGATTAGGTTATGGCTTTTATTTTATTTTGATAAAAGCATATGCTTAAGATTAGAAGTTTAAGTAGATGTCCCTAATAAACATTTCACTTGCATGCCAGAAGTTTCACAGTGGTGTTAAGTGTGTGCAAGATGAGACACCGACCAGCGATTTCCAAAGAAGAGAAATTTCAGTAATATGCGTGTATTCCTAACACATACAAGGAGTTCCATATATTCTTTTAACTGTGGAGAATCCATTACTTAAAATAGCCAACACACAACATGTTTCTAGTGTAATAAATTTCAAATACAAAAGCGAGTATCAAAGGGGTGAGGGTTGTGTGTTTTAAACCTATCAGTTGATAATAAAAGCCCAGCTCAAACCCAATAACGTGAATAGAAAGACTTCCTCAGACTTCGCAGATGTTGTATAAACTTTTAAACCAACACTAAAAGCAAAGACCCAGTGATCTAATTAAAGCACAGTCACCTCATAGCTTCTGTAATCCACTTCCACATCATCTCCATAAACATTTAGCTCCATGTTTTTATGACTAAACACAGTAGCTGGTTTGGGATTTCTGGGATTACATGCCATATCATCTGCCAGCATCAGGACAATGTGACTATGGAAAATAAGACAAAAACATTTCAGCCATTCTACTTTCACATAACAGTCAAACAGAAAATACAACAACACTTTCCTACAATTACAAAAATAACTTATAACATTAAGAAGATTCCTGGAATTGTAACTGAAACTTTTCTTAGTTATACCCTATTTCCTTGGCCTTTTCATTAGGCCAAAGTTGAACATGAGAAAAGCTGACATGAGTAACTTTATGATAATAGACTTGCCTGGACCTAGACTGGCAGAACTCTTCATCAAAAAACTGGAGATTTTTATGGGGCACTAAATCATTTCATGCAGCTTCACCAAAGACATCCCCAGCTGTTTGCACCCTTTCAGACAGATCAATTAAAAACATTATAACAATTTTTAATTAAATTTGAGGAGCTCCTGAACATTTCTCAAACCATTATACGATAACTGATACACTACTGTATGATTATCTGCGTTAATGGAATTTCCCTGAAGAACACAAGTAGGCCGACACTAGACGTTTTGTCGTCTTCATAGAAGCAAGAAAAAAAACAACCCAGCATTTCATAGTACCAAGAAAAAAAAAAACAAACAAAAAAAACAAAGCAAACAAACAAAACCCCAGCACATTATAAAGCTGTTCCAAATTGCACGCATCCAAATGTCTATATTTCACCTAGCAGGGTCAGTTTTGGGTAAAAATATGAAAAAACAAGTAGTCACTGGAGACTGTTAGCACTAGAAAGAACGTGCCAGAGACGTCTGGAACAAAGTGAAGTCAGTCCTTTCCTTGAATAACCCTGTCTTGCATACAGTTTCTCCTGGACTGTGATCTTTGTGTTCTCCCAAACAATGCTTACAAAAGGAAAACTCTGTATCCTGCAAAGAATGCTGCTAAATCAGATTCTCAGGCACAAAGTTATAAATCAAACCTTGTCCTGCTATTTAAACACCATTCCTGTGCTTGTCATCGTTCACCTATATGTCTGCATGAGTATTTTATGACTAAACTTATTCTTTATTATACACTCCACAGTGCACAAAAAACACCCAAAACCAACCAAACAAAAAAAAAAAAACATGAGAGAAATGCTGTCCAAAATAATATAAGCATAGATCCCCACAAATAATCAAAGTAAATTATTTCAATGGGAATAAAATGCTGGCATAAATATGAAGCTGTAATGACAGAAGGCGGAGGAGGACAACTACAAAAGAGAAAAAGATTTTTTCTCCACACATGCACAGCAGTACAAAACTATTTTTATAAAAGAGTATCATTAAAAGGGAATTAGTTGGAAGTAAATGTTGAATATATGCCTTCCAGATTTACTGAGATAGTCATATGTACACGCATTTTTTTGCATTACACTCAGAAGAGAATATTCCAGACTCAGCCATCACTAGGCCTACAGTTTAGCACTGTATTTTTGCTAGGAACGTGTCTATTAAAAAAAAAAGAATTAATAATCACACATCACTCAGTAAAAGGTTCTGCATAGTAATAGTACAGACAGGTGAGCACTAACAGCCAAAGTCTGTATACTGAATGGCATTCTTAAAAGCACACAGAATATCCCACAGTTAAACAGAATCACTGTGTACAAGTGGTTCATACATGCAAGCAAAACAATCTAGGTGTTAACTTGCAGCTTAACTGTTAAACCAAAGTAATCTAACAATACATTATATTAATGCTATTTGCATGATGTAAAACTTATACTGCATCATGATTCCAGGAATCAAAAAGAACTGGATTCATTCTGGCTTTGTTTTAATCCAGCAAAACTTTTCTTTTACAAATTGGAGCACTGTGCCCACATGTCAACAAACCAGAGCAACTTACAGTTATAAAACTACAAATAATTTTCTTAATGAGTTCTGTTGTATTTAAACAACCAAATTGACACAGTTCCATTCAACATGAAGCTATGCCCAAAATCCCTAAAAAAAACCCCCAACACCAAAACCACAAAACCAACCCCAAGAACCATGATAAATGTTTATTTTTAAGATGTGATTCAGGGGGTGGGGGTTTTTTATCTTATCAATATTTTGAATGAAGTGTTGCACCAAAGAAAGAAAAACAAGTAAAGGAAGAAGTTTGTCTAAGGGGAAAAGCCACTCAAACCCATGTAAAAACTGCTGCAAATGGGAAAAAATTAGTCTCTCTCTAGGTCTTCTCCAGTGTCTTACTCTTGACCTCAGTCTAAAGCATTGCTGCCCTTTTGAGATTAATTTCCAGATCCTTGGGTATGGATAAGAAACTGATCAGGAAACCTCCAGCCATGCTGTAGTTTTTGCAGTATTTCTAAAATTGTCATCTATTTTGACATTCATGGTGAAAATAGATGGATGCAGGGAGGATGAAAGTCCTTCAGGTAAGGGTAGAACTAGTGAAAGAATTTCTAAGGTAACGCCTCGGGCACCTATGATTCAAAGGAGAGAAGACACATGCTTCTGAATGAGATGTGAAAAAAAATGCCCTATTTCTGCAGCCTTCAGCCCACAGTGCTTAGGCAATACGCTCCCTTGGATTTATAGCCCCCAAACACTTCCAAAAATTAGGTTTCGGCCTCTTTCAAAAACCAAAAAGTCGCTCTCTTCTTTTTAAAATAAATACAGGAAACAGGATGATACTGCCATTGCATTCACAGTTGAGTAGAAGCTTAGTGGGGACTCCAGATACTACAGTTTGGACTCAGACCAAAAAAATGCCATACAAATTTAATCCAGCAGAATACACATTATGCAATGATGAAGCGGGCCATACCCCTTTAGGCAGACATGCTGGAAAAACTACAAAACTACCAGTACTCTAAACCAACATTAAAATCCTGGACCATCGGGATTTCTATAGGATCCTACATATAGTCTATTATTCAATAGATTCTGGTGCCTAAAATTCGCTTCCACAGTTCTGGTACGAGTAAATTGCATTCCAAAACAGCTGGATGGAACTGTGCCAATAGCCCTAGAACTTCCAGTAGGAACACAGTGAAAAGACACTTCAGAACAGTTTGCTTACCTTCCTAATCCTGTTGTCAAAGAAGGGATACTATTTTAACCATTGTGCTATTGTTAGAGAAGCACAATTTATATGGACAAAGCTTCTGGTTTCTATAAAAATGTATTTTTCCACGGCTACTTTCAATATGTAGGAGCTGCTTTGTTCAGGGCCTCTAGTTTAGAGACTCTCAGTGCAGTTGCAGATGTGGAAATCTTATATTTTAATACAGTTGGAGTTGCTAACATCTCCACACTGAAAGGAAATTAAAGTAGAGCAAAGGTCACATCTCATAGGAGTATTGTCACTGCTGAATGCATTTATCAATTTTCACATTATGCTTTCACCAGTTTACTAAATGGTACATTTTAGTGGCCAGATAGCTCCTCGTGTTTAAAATCCAATTAGCCTATTCCAACTGGAAGTTTTATTATATCACTTGTTGCTTTTCCTTTTGAACAATATTGCCACACTTTTCAATACACTGATGTAATCACATCCTTCCTTTTTACTTATATCCAGTTAAACTGAGAAGAGATAGGTATTTTTATACTGCTTCAGACAACAAGAGAACTTTAATAGCACATTTGCAAGGAATTGTGTTCACCAAGATTCCCTCACCTAATTAAACCAGAATCGAGATGTACACACCTTGAATTTTTAAAGAAAAAAAAAAAAAAAAGGCATATTAAGTAGTGTAAAAGATACAAACTGCCCTGGCCCATTGCATCAGAAGACTGTGATCACAGGAGTATCAACAAACTAGTAACCAATCAGAAAGAACATAGCAACACCAAGAAACTCATCATGTAAGCTATATAAGTCTTTGTTGTACCAAAGCAACAAATGCTGAATATAAAAGTTAAAAAAATGTTCTTAACATACTGACTTATGAAAAAATTGTCATAAAACTCAACTAAGTATAGAAAGTGGCCCTTCAGGGAATAATTCAGCAACAGTAAGTGGATAAGCTGATTTTTTTCATTTTCTTTCTCCATATCAAATGGAAGAAAAACCAAAGAAAGAATTCTCATCTCAATAGCAAACCCTTTCTGGGAGCACTATTGCACAAAGGCCCAAGGAAATTCATGCAGAAGCCAAACATCAGGGAAAATACACTGAGGGCATTTGCATTTAAGGAGTCAAATATAATAAAGAATTGAGTGAGCTCTAACCAAAATCTGAACACAAACTCTCAAAAATCTCAAAAGAGTTCAGGTTTTACTGTTCTAACATGCAAAGGGCTGGGGGTCAGCTATTCCTGTACTTAAACTATTCCCTAGGTCAGATATTACTTAATCTGTCCTAAAAAACCTCAAACATATGAGATTCCAAAAACCTTCAGAGGGAATCTGCTGTAATTCCTTAGTAGCCTTATCATTGCCCTTGTGTTTAACTTAAGTTCACAAATTTTTGTTTGCTCTGCACCAAGGACAGCAGTTCTCCTTTGGAGACAAATTTCCTTTACTTTTAAAGTGCTTCAAACAGACACAGGATGAAGCATTTTAGAAAAGGTGACTTTAAAACCACAAAAATAGAAAAGCAGGAGCAAGCATTTCATGATATTTTTAATTCTTCAGCTTTAAACGCACAGCTCTGATTTAAATAGAAACATCTTTAAGTTACTCTATGTAATATCTTTTTCTCTAGCCTTTTCTTGAAAAGAAATGTGTAATAGCTTAAATAATAATAAAAATTCAGCCTGAAAGGATCTCCTTAAGTTTCAATCATCCCATCAGTTAGGAAATTCAAAGAAGCCCAGAGGAATCAGTCCAGAAGAACATTTGCCTTTCAGCAAGATTTAAAGCTCTGAAAACTAACTGTGGCAAACCTAGTTGTGACATTTCAAGGTACTGTTATCTGCCCCTGTCTTTCATTACCTCCCTTACAACACAGTGGAAGATGTGTCTATGCTTTAAATATAGCTATTCACACTGCAGCACATTAATTCAAACTACTGATGAGGTGGGATTGCAGTACGACCCCAGGTTTGAAGTGCCTAATAGCAGTAAAACCCTCCCTATTTTACTGCTTAAAAAATTAGTAGCAATTGTTATAAAGCTTAATCATGAATTACTGAAAAAATATAACCAGCAGAGAATCCGTTGAGGACAGCAAGTATAGCTCCTTAGACTTAATTTTCCACTTTCTTTGTGTGTTTTTATAGGTACTAATAAAAGCACCTATTTGTTACTAGTATTAAAGTAGTACTTGATGTAATCTTTTCAAGTTTGTACATTGTAGAATAAAGAATTTTTTCCTTCTAATTCAATTAATTACTGTTAACTTTCCTTTTATATTGCTCAATTTTGGTATGTGGAAAACAAACAGCTGCTACTGAGTAATTACAATAGTGTTCTGAAACAAATTAGTCATTAAGACCTGAATTGTGATTAAGAACCAATTGTGTAGCATGATTCAAGGCTAATAAAAGATTCATGGCAAAGAAAAAAAGACTCGGATAAGAACAGTTGATCTAAACATTATGTTGCCTGATTTTTTTTCATTCTAAGCCTGTTACACAAGCTAACAGACTGAGTAAGAACAAAAATCAGAAATAAATTGTACCTTTCTGGTCAAAGAGATATACTTCTCTGGTATCAGAATTACACTTCTGTTCAATATCCAGTATGGTAATTTAACTGTTTTAATGCTGTCAGAACTTCTGTTTTATGAATCCTGCCATGTAGCTAGACATTTCTTGCACTTGAAATGCAGTCACACTGAAAAGATAGTTTCATTATAGTGTAACAAATTTGGGGGCACAATTCCAAAATTATTCATTTCCGAGTCTTCATCTTCCCATTTCTTCCAAATTCTTTCTTTCAAACAGAATTCCCGAGTGATCATTGCAATTATGGCTCCTGATGAAAAACTGTCAACTTTATTGGAAGAGAACAACTGGGACCACACTTACCAAAACGGCCCAGTTATTTGTATGTCCACTTCTAAAGAACTGTTCTGCTTGATCCTGAAAGATGGAGAAAATACTGCATGTTTTTCAGCAATAAGAAAGAAATGACTCCTCATATTTTTGTTGTTTCCACAAAACAGGGTTCAATGCATATGTTTACCACACCTTACCAACTGAATAAACCTTACAAAAGCTTCAAAAGAGGTAGTCTTTCTTATTCCGTTTGCACATTTCATGCAAGCTAATTGCTCAGTATCTTTCCCTGAAACTTACTAAACAACAAAGGAAAAAGAACTATTAGTCACTTTCAGCTTAGTTAAAACAAAAAGCCCACACACCTCTATTTGAAAGGACACTCCAAGAACAAAATAAAATGATTTATTGACCTACAGTTTCTTCCTTAATGAGAAAAGGGACTTGGATTAATTTCTATTTTCACTGTTCCTCTCATCTTTTCAAAAGCAGGTAAGAGAATCTGCAATTTCTACCCATTTTAAATCCAAGGTGGTTACACTTATCTTCCAATATCAGGAGCTATGACGACAACAACCTTCTCTATAATTTGTGTTATCCATAGTTTCCACTGTACTTTGCACAGGAGAGGGCCCTTTTTCTTTAACAGATAGCATAAATCAGGACACAGAAAGGGGATCGGACTTCTTGGAGGTAAGGAAAGGAGTCTGTACAAGGACAAGAATCCAGACTTGCTGATTGTTAATCAGACTTGGTTAACTCTCCAAGGGGTACTGGGCTGACACCTGTGGTCTCACACAAAACATGCGGTAAAAGAAAAAGTGTTAAACTATACGTAAAGCATACCGTACTTCAAGTAGCAAACAATCTGCAGTTTAATTAGTAATCCAAAGATTCTAGAAATACAAATATTGGCTATTTTTTGTACTCTTTGTAATTAATTTCAAGTATAACAATTTCTAATAAAGCAGAATGCAAATACAAACACTCCAGACGTAGTGTGGGCACTGTGCAAAAAGCTTAATTACTGAAATATGAAATTACTGCTGCTGCTTGGGGGAAAAAAAAAAAAAAATGCTCCTTCAGTGTGTAAAGGCCTCACACCTGCGAGGAGGGCAGAGGGCAGCCCAGCCACCTGTGAAACTGCCCGACACCCCACCCTGGTTTTTAACCTATTCACACTTAATTCACCATAGAATCATAGAACGGTTTAGGTTGGAAGGGACCTTGAAGATGAAGTCCCACCCCCCCTGCCACGGGCAGGGACACCTCCCACCAGACCAGGTTGCCCAAGGCCCCGTCCAGCCTGGCCTTGAACACCTCCAGGGATGGGGCCTAACTGAGCCGGCAAACGTCCGGAAAAGGAACATAGAACACCGACTGCTGACAGCTACCTGGCGTAGCCAAAGAGAAACCTACAAACGTATTAAAAGACAGGATGGTGCGTGGCTTTTTTTAAACTGTAAAGAAGTTATATGTGCCTGACGAGCCGCGTTGGTTCTAAGACGCACCGCACACCACCACCGCCCCCCGGCCGGGG